ACAGGAACTGTGCTCCAGCCCCTTCACTAGTAGGGGATGGGGGACCCTACAAAAGGGAACGGAGAGGCCTGATGTACCAGCGACAGACCCAGTGTGTGTAGGTGCCCCATGTTCCTGCTTTGCCAGCAGCACCAGCTGGAACGCGGTTTGGCCCTACAGAATGTTTTGGGCTTTCCGCTGAGAAGCAGCATTACGAAATAATGCTGTGGCACTTGTCATCCTTAACGTGCCTACCATGCCTTGGCACCGACTGTTTACTGCGGAGCATCCAGAGGCCAAGCAAAGATTCCCTTTTAAGGCAACGAGCCACTATGAGAATCCAGAAGAAAATGTTTCCCTGGCATGTAGGGCACATTCTTCTTTCCTCCTCCTCTGAAATAAGCGATTAGTAACTTTTAAAAACAGAACAAAAATGAAGAAGCAGGGCCAGAATCGCTGCCAAAGACATTTTATTCTGCGCAGCCCCCTTAGACCTGCGCAGCAACCAAGCCCTGGAGCTAACCCAGGGCAGGAGAGGGGAAGAATGAAACTGAGGTCAGAGACCTGGGGCAAGAGGAAGTGGGAATGGAGATCGTCTTAAAAAGCTTTGCTCCTTCCCTTCCCCAGGCCCTGGAGAAGCGGTCTGACCGCAGCAATCCCTGAACAGTTGCGCTGCGTGCTGCACTGGGGTTTGGGCTTGCTTTCCAACAGCTTCCCTTCCCATGAGGATGATATTCTCTTCTTTCCCAATCCTGAACGTGGATGTGTGCATCCAGGGTTGGTGTGCTGGGTGCGCTGGCACGAGGCGTTTTCAACGGAAGAGTTAGGAGTGATCCGGGCTGTAACAGGACACGGGATTGCAGAAAAATCTCTGTGGAGATACTAATCCTATATGGTTTTAAAGAAAGGGGGAAATACAACTATTGTCTCTTGCTTTTTCTCAAAGGAGGGGCAGCTCCCCTTTTCTTGCTATACAAATAAAGACGTTGAATTACCAAGAAGTGATTTTTAAGCTGCCTAGTGCCTCTGAGCTTCTAGTCCTTGTATTTGACTGAGGAGAAAAGACTGTGGGCTGCTGGGGTAGGAACCCAGGCCATGTTGAGAGTGTGCTCCTGTCCTGTAAAAACGGGCATAACCTGTTTCTTCCTTGTTCTTGGTAGGAGTTTGTTACTGGGACTCATAAGTGTTGGCTCATACTGCTGTTTCCTTCCTGCCTTCCGTGGGTTCAGGACTCCCATGCTTACACAGAACGTTTCTAACCAGAAATGGATAATTTCTTTCCAGTAAAGTGCCATAGGGAAATCGGAGCAGCTAAACCTGGTCTTCCTTACAAAGCTGTAGCCTCCTGTGCATGCCTGAAGTCTTTGGGTCTTTCCCCTCTGCAAAGGGAGTACGTTAGAGGGAGACAGTTTGCACATTAAGATTTTTTTTTTAACCTTACTGAGTTCTGTTCCACTTGCATCCTCTGACTCCTTACTCAAAGAAGGGAAGAGGAGAGAAGCTAAAATGAAAATATCCAGTGTACCTTTAATTTTGAATTATAAACCCTTATTCACTGGAAAACATAAAAACATGAAAGTGTTCATAAAGACTGGCTTAAAAGACACAAAGCGTTGGCTTACTGCCCCTCTAATTCTGTGTTGGCTTTAAGAAGCTAACCCTCATTCTCAGATTACCAGAAAGTAGGTTTTGGCAGGGGCACCTCACTATAATACTTCATCAGTGGAGGTTATTTTAAAACGTGACATTCCAAGAAGAAAGGAGAAGGCACAGGATGGAAAATCAAAGGCAGAGATAGTTTGGTGTACCTGGTAGTTTGGAAGTGTAAAGGTGCACCTGGGTGAGGTGGTGTATGGTGCTGCTGTTGGAGGCTCTTAAGTTTTCCACATAAATGTTTTAGTTGGGAATGTACCATTTCAGCCCCCAGATTTTTCAGATTGTGAACCATACAAATTGTAAGGTGCAAGCTTTGGCAGTTGTGCTGAGCTCCTCATCCACCAACGCCCCCAGGTCCTTCTCCTTGGAGCTGCTCTCCATCCATTCTCCTCCCCGCCTGTGCTTGTGTTTGGGATTGCCCTGACCCAGGTGCAGGACCTTGCACTTGGCCTTGTTAACCTCCATGAGGTTGGCAGTGGCCCACCTCTGCAGCCTGTCCAGGTCCCTCTGGATGGCATCCCTTCCCTCCAGCGTGTTGACCGCGCCCCCCAGCTTGGTGTCGTCGGCAAACTTGCTGAGGGGGCACTCAATGCTGTCATCCATGTCACCGACAAAGATGTTAAACAGTGCCTGTCCCAACACTGATCCCTGAGGAATGCCACTCGTCACTGCTCTTCACTCGGACATCGAGCTGTTGACCGCCACTGAGTGCAACCATCCGGGTGATTCCTTGTCCCCTGAGTGACAGGGGTCACCAGTCACCCCATTTTCCACGTGCCTTAGCATAGTTTCCAGGAGGATCTGCTCCGTAAGGACCGTAATCAGTGGCCCTTTTCGTCCCCGCAGACTTGAGATGGCTTGTGACTTTTGGGGTTTGCAAACAGAGACAAATTTGCTGCTTAGGGACTGTTGGACCTGTCAGTTTTTAAAGGGAAACGAGTGTGTTTGAGGCTGGGCTGGAACCTGAACGTGGCGCGTGATCCAGAGGGTGCAGAGGGATTGGAGTTCTGCTGCAGGTCTGCTCCTCACCACTATAGGGTTTTAAATAAACTTAGTTACTCTTATATCTGGTTCTAAAACCCCTTAAATGTGCCACATTAAGAAGAGAAAAGCCACTGATGACTTGTATTTAAAAAAGAGACCCCCCACTCAGCCAGGCTGGGTGTGAAGGGTGGGAGATGGTGGTGGTCAAAGTATCATCGTTGGTGCTTGAAGAGATGCGTTTCAGACGCAGCGTAAGGACCTGCACAGCGTGCTGGAGGGAGCTGGAAATCATTAGAGTTGTGCTGGTTCCCTCTGGGGAAGGGGAATCCTGAATCGGTAGAGATCATCTTAAATTGCATGGTCAGTTTAGGGAAGCTCGGCATGAAATAACACCTCTGTGTGATCGGCCTTGGAACAAAGATTCTCGGGACCAAAACCACGGATGCCTGGTACGATCCCAGAGTGATGTGAACTCTGTCAGGCTCTGCAGCGTGTCCTCGTAGCGGGCGTGCTGTCTGATACTGAATCAGAGTGCACGTGCTTCTTTCCAGACAAACCGCATCAGTATGAACTTAAGCACCTCTTCAGTATTTGTGTCATGAATAAACTTTGAACCTTATGGCCGGTTTCTGCCACAATACGGGAATAATTCTTTCCTTATGTGATTTTAAAACTAAATTAATAACCTGGATGGTGCTTTGAAGATGCTCCAAAGTGTGGGGTTTTTTAAAGCAAGACACTACTGGGCATCTGATCAAGAAGGAAATGAGAGAGAGGGATTCGAGGAGTGTCTTTATTAACTGCGATGGGATAAGACAACAAGCTAGGAAATTGGCAGTTTTACTTGTTCCCAACAAAGCAGTTAGACCAGGGGGGAAAAATCATCACGGCCCAGAGGGCCTGTCACTTGGTGGAGTGTCTTACACATCTCTTTCTCTGGTGAAGTCCAGGCAGAATTCCAGCGGCTGTGCTAGCTCAACACAAGGCTGAGCATGGGAGCCCTGCGAGAAGCCTCAGCGAATGTACTGCAGGTGGTTTGCTGAAGCTTCTTCTGAGATTTCAGACGAGTGACCTCTCTTCTGCCGTCTCCCTTCGCGCTTGTCCTGTTGGCATCGTACTCGGTTGAGTGCCTAAAACCAGCCAAACGCAAACCTATCCTGGGGTGTACCCGAAGAATCGGTTTGTGCTCTGGTTTGCCTGTCAGTAAGAACTGCCGGGTGCTCTCTCCTTGGATTCCCTAAAGGTGCTTTGCTGGTTAAGCACTGATAGGCAGGTTTTGGTCTAACCCCTTGACCAAACTGTAGCACAACTGCTACTCCTCCAGCTGCTTTGGAGACAGAGTTGATCTGATGTGGACATTTAGCGTAAGTCTCTTATTTTTAAAGAAAAACACAGGTAAGCATGAATTGAGACTTCAGTTTGCTTTAGGGTGCCTGTAGTAGTGTCTGGATGCGGTCTTATCTGACGTTGAGTTATGTTTTCCAGTAAATAATCAAATACAGGTGATGGATTTTGGTTTTTCCTGACTAGAACAGTAGAACTCTACTGTTCCTGCCTCTTTTCCTTTCAGTGAAAGCTGTCGCTCAACACGCTGCTTTGTGCTCACTGGCACGGCCTTCACTTACAGGGGTGTCCTGGGACATCGCAGAAACGGCTACAGGTAGTTTTCTGTATTTGTGTACTTTAAACGTGAAATGAAAAATTGAGGGAGGCATCCTAAATGGGAAAAGCTTCCACCAAATAACACAACGGATGCTGTGCTTCGCACGTTTGGAATTGGTTCCGGGTAGATCGTGTTTTCTTACAAGTCTTTGAAATGACAGTGACCTGGGAGGTGGGGGAGAGCAGAAGGAAGGGAGTGAACTCGTAAACTGTGTGGTAATTCTGGTGATCCTGAACGCATGAGCCTTGGTTTATCTAGTATATGGAACTGCTCTTTGTTGATTCTTTGTTGTTTCTAAAACTCTTTTTTCCTTGCTGCTGTATGCTCCAGCTTTGTTAAGTCTGTAGGGGAAATGCTGTAGTGTTGACAGTTTCCAAACTAAACCCACGGTTTTACAGCCTAGACGGACCATGACATTTCAGGCACTGGAAGGGGCTGCCCAGGGACGTGGTGGAGTCACCACCCCCGGAGGTGTTCAGGGAGCGGGTAGACGTGGCGCTTGAGGACACGGTCTAGTGGGCACGGGAGTGTTGGGTTGATGGTTGGACTGGGTGATCTTACATGTCTTTTCCAACCTTTGTGAGTCTGTGATGACTCGGTTACTATGAGCAACTCTGACTTCATAACCTAAGTTCTGCTTATTGAGGGAAGATATGTGTTCCAGCTCAAAACTTGACATTTTTAAGACTATATTTTTTTTTTAGTTTGTACTTAGAACAGTTGGACCATGTAGTATCCCAACTGGACTGCGTGCAGGTCTTGAGACTCTGCTGGTAGAAACAAGATCTCCGGTCTTCCTTTAGCCCTCAGCAGCTGCAAAAGGTTAAGAAGAAGTTTGTGCTTCACATGGTGATCTGACAGTCAGGTTTCAGTGGTGTGAATGAACCCTTCGATATCAGGGATTATGGGCATTTTGCCTTCGATATCGGGGATTAATGGGCATTTTGCAGGTTTAGTGACGATACTTGCAAGTCAGGTTCTTTTTTAAACCGAGCCAAAGCTTTGGAAAGGGGCAGAGATGGGATCTTTCAGGAAGCTTTTGTTTGAAATCCTCCAGTTCCAGCACACGGCAGTTGTGGAAAGACTGAGAGAGTCTGCTGCAAAGACGCAAAGGGGGTGCATCTGCTGATCTGACAGAGAACTGATGTTGGTGTGGACACGAGGGGTTTTGGTTTTTGTAAAAGGATGCTGTAGAGTTTTTGCAAACTTATGAAATACATGTAGTGTTAAATTTTTCTTTATTTTCTTGAGCTGGGGAGAAGATTCTGAAGTGAGAATGAGGCTCACGCTCTCCATTTCTAATTTCTGGAGGCTTGCCTCAGCCTCTGATGTCTGCCTTCCTTCTGTGGTTTCCCTCCACAGCCTGGCTCAGTGACAGACCGTCTTTGACCTCTTTGTCTCTCTCCCCTCCTCCTCCTCTCGGAAGACTGCTCTTAGCTGACGTGGCACAGCCCTAACCTGGGGCCCTTGGTTTACATGTCCTGAAGTAAAGCAAAGACACACACTCTGGTCTATCCAAGCTACTTCTTACTGATAACTTTCCTCCCCAGGTGTGGTTAATGCAGTTTGTGGAACCAGTCTCTGAAGTTGAACTGGAACTGTAATTTTCTTAAAAAATCAACTTATCCCTGAACCCTGCCCCCTCAACCAGACTCAAAACCCACTAAACCCAACCAGCTGGAAAAAGCCTTAAAGAGTATATTCTGAATAGACCTTAATATTGTCGGAGGCCCAGCAGGCATGAAGGTGCTGAATGGATCGTGCCAGGCTTGGTTTCAGCAGTGTAGGAGTAAGGTAGCCTGTGCTGGGAATTAAGCAAATCAGTGGCCTGGAGTATTTTTTCCTAGCTCAGGGCCAAGTGCATAGTTTCAACTGGATTTATGCTGTTGACTGCCAGGGTAAGGTAGTTCCAAGTCAGTATTCCTGCAAAAGGAAGAGGTCAAACATGTTGCTTCATCTGCTCTGAAGTCGAGTGCGACTGTTGTTTTATGCTATTATATTTTTCTTGAATATCATGTCAAATTCTACAAAAATCTGAAGTCTCAGGTCCAAGCATAAATTATGTATTTCATAGATTCTTTAAATACCTTTAAGGTGCTCTCGCAGTTCTTGCTTCCATGGACTCTTCTTTCTTATCTGTAGCTTATTTTTACATGGTGAGGTCCAGAGGAGATCCAGCAGATGTAAGGGTTTGCTGATGACCAGGAGGTGTTGCTCTAACTGAGCGACCTCTCTGCATGAAGAGCCTTGCACTGAGGAACCCCTGACTTGGTGTGTTGTAAAACGTCCCTTTGTGGAGCAGCTGTGAGAATCGGCCCAGGTCACTCCGTTCAGTAACGTAAGGGACAGGTCTCGCAGGCGTCATTGGAACTGGAATGCACGGCTGTGGAAAAAGGCCAGTAGTGCACAGCAGTAGCGGTGGGCTGCGTTCATCTTCGCATACACTGGTTGGAGTTTATTCTCATGCTGTATGTTTGTATCCCTTAAAAAGATACTCCGTGTCACAGGCATCCTCTAACCTTCATGGTTAGAGTAACCTTCATCCACCTTTCTCATTAACATGTAGAAATACAGTGTGGCCACCTTTTCCCTTCCAGAGACCTCCTGCAGTGGGGTTTGTAAATACATTGTGAGGGTGTGTGTGTTGTGCCGCTGTCACCCTTTTCCTTGATGATGGTCTTCCTGAAGTCTTGGAAGTCCCTCCGGTGTTAGGTTACTTGTTAGAAGTGTGACAGGACTCAGTGCAAGTTCAGGACAGTGAGCAGGGGCAGTGCTGGTGACTGAGTTGCAGTGAGTTAGGGCACTCCCTTCTTGTGCAGGGCACGTCTCAGTCTCTCCCTACGGCAGTGTCGACGACGTGGATGACGAGTCCTTCTGAAAATGGGTTTAATGCACAGATCAGTAAAGAACCCATAAAGACAGAAATTTGAACAGTCATGCTTTCTTTGGGGAACGCACTGACACCTCAAACACCATTCCAGGAAGGATGTGCCTCCCATCCTCACGGCAGAAAGCACGCCTGCATGTATCTCACAGGGCCACAGCTGGAAGGTTATTTAAAGTGTTTTACGAACCAGCGTGAGAGGTGATGGGACCTACGTGAGTTTTGGCATCAAACTCAATGCAGCCATCTGCAGAGATGGCCTAGTCTGGTTTTACAGATCCTTAAGTGCCACTTTAACCAAGAAAACCTGACATTAAAACATCCCGGTACCGCCTCCATGTATTCATGTGATAGTGCACAGCAAGTGTTGCCGTACTGCACGTGTCCCTCACCATTACACAGATCTTTTGTCTCTGGTTAGGTGGATTTCTTAACGGTAGAAACACACAGATACGCAGTGTTTGACCATACGGCCTGAAAAACCAAAGTGCTGACCCGCCGTCCTTCCTCCAAAGTCCTTACTGAACCCCCGGCCCAGGAGTAGGGGTTGGGTTGAGTCTAGTCTGAGAGTGTTGAAAACGCGCGGGAGGAAGACCGGTGTTCACCACAGACGCTTTAGAAACAGAGATGAAAAGTCACAGTGCACCGTGGAGATAAATGCATTTTATGGAATGTGGTTTGTATGCTTTTATACATCCCAAAGGAAGGTTATTTTGTAATGCATTGGGTTTTAAAGGATTTTTGGAAAAAAAAAGAACTCGGGTGTTTGTCTCGAGTATGGTGGGAGTGAGAAAGCAGGTGTTTCTGGAGTTCTCCGTGCGTCGTGCTGGAGTCACAGCTGCTTGTGTCCAGAGAAGAGAGGCTGGAGTAGTGAGGGTGCTGTAGCTCTGAGTGAGCAGTGCCAGCACGTGGTGTGGTAAGAGCGTTTTTCCAACGGACACCCATCTTCTTGCAGCAGTCCACTCTGCTGTCCCTCCACGAAAGTCCCGTTGGCAGGTGACCGTTACCTGTGACGCAGCAGACCGTTAGGACGCTCGCGTTAGAGCAGCTCCTTCGGGCACAGCACCGGCTGTTCACAGGCGTGAAGAGGCTGTCCCTCTCCCGACAGTTTGCAATCCACGCTGACAAAACAGCAGTGGAGATGGAGCAGCTCAAGTTTCTTAATGCCATTCAGAACTAACGGTACTTGAAAGAGGTGGCTGAGTTCAAATACGCTTTTTAAGCAACTCTCTTTTGCTTTAATTAAAGAAATGAAGCTAAGGGGAGGGAAGGCTGGAGGAGCAGTGTGAACACAAACACAGGAGTTTAAATAAAACAGTTTCTTTCGGGTTTCTGTAGCTGTTCATCGACAGTAAATGTAACCTGTCTTCTTTGTAATCTCTTGCAGGAAGTCCAAGGGAAAGCCAAATGGTAAAAAGCCAGCACCAGAGGAGAAGAAACTTTACCTAGAGCCAGAATACACAAAATCCAGAATTACTGACTTCGAATTTAAGGAGCTAGTGATGTTACCACGAGAAATAGACCTCAATGAGTGGCTAGCCAGCAACAGTGAGTATTGTGATCATAGCTCTGGGCTTGCTGTCCGCATTCATTCAGTTTCTTTTTACTGTTTTCAGTGCTTGGAAAAACAGTCAGTGACTGTTTACGCTTACTGCATAATGCATGTCATTATACCTTGAATAGTAATTAAGCTCTCTTACGCACATACCAACTGTGCTCAGCAGCATGGAAGCCTTGATGCCTTTCCTCCTTCCAACTCCCTCACTGCCGCACTGGGGGCATTAAAGGTTTTTATGCTCTTCTGAGGATCAGCAGATTCTCTCTGACTATTTGCTAAACCTGCTGGCTCAGCATGTTTCCAACTCAGGCTTCTTGTCTTCCAGAAGCATTGTAAACGTGGTAGTTTATTAAGACTTGTTTGTAAAGCAAATTATGCTTAAAGCCAGAAGTTTTGAAGTCTTTTGTTGGATGTCTTCTCCCCACTCCTTCCAAGCCTTGGTGGAATTACTGTGAAAGCCAGAACTCGGAGTCACGACTGAAATGTTGTATCTGTGCATCTCAGTTCTGATTTACAGTGCTTTTCTCTGCTTCTGCTTCATCTGCCAGTCCGAACCTGCAGCTAGGATCCAGTCCTGTGTACAGTTCCAGCAGCATGTGGTAGTGGCAAGAAACTAAACTGCACACTAGGAATGTTTATAGAGACTCATTAGGAAAAAGTGAGGTGCCCTTGAGGAGATAAATTAGCTCCGGAGATGTTTAAAATGTAGAAGCACATTGGTTTTCATGCTGTTTTTTTTAAAGGAGATACGTAATGACAACTGTTAGTGCTGTTTTCTGCCCTCTGTATGTTTTAAGTCTGACTTCAAAGGTACGTAGCAAATTGTTTGCCTTTAGCTGGCAGTGTTGTGCTGTGGAGGTGACGATGGACACACCTTCCAGTCTTGCTGCTTAGTGGGTAACAACAGCTGATGCATCGCGGCGCTTTCATCCTGAATCAAACGAGTGCTTTCATTCTGTGCTGCTCTTTGTTTTGCAGTTCGTCATTAGACTCATTTAGCTAAATCGTGTTTAGATTTGTACACACACTCAAGTCTGAGGTCACTTCGCTTGCGCCATTTAAATCACTGTCTGGAGGATAACTCCTGTTTGAAAGTATTTTACTTCTGAATTCCTTTCCTTTGTGTTTATTTTTCAGCAACAACTTTCTTTCATCACATCAACTTACAGTACAGTACCATCTCGGAATTCTGTACAGGAGAGTCGTGTCAGACCATGGCAGTGTGCAATACGTAAGTCGATGTTCACAACTACAGGGTTTCCACGCAGCCTTCCGAGTGGCTGATACCGGTAGTAGATGGCACCGGGCAAGTGTTTCACAGCAGATCTCTGCTTGGGGAGAATGTGGCAGCTGCACATCCTCTTCTTCCCTCAGCAGCGGAGGGTGGTGCAAACCTGGTTCTTGGGGAGGACTAGGAGGAGACTCTTTGACTGTTCTGAGCTGGTTTCATGAGGTCAGATCAGAGTAAAATGACCACGTGTGTAGCTTGAGGGGGGAGTGGGTGAGAAGAGCAAGGCAAAACTGCCCTTTCTGGGCACAGTGCTGGGATTCCATAGAAGGCCGGGGAGGATAAACGAATTGCGAAAAGCTCCGCGGGTGCTTTTGATAGCTGGAATGCTGACAGAGCACCAGGCTGCCGACGGATAACCTCCAGCCTGACGTGTGCCGCTGGCTTTCTGCCCGAGCCCCTGGGCACAGAGGGCACGAGTGGCAGCTCTGCGAAGAGTAAGGAAAACACTTTGGTTTGGCACTTTCCCCCCTGTAGGACTTCGTCGACTTCTTTAACACTGACTAGCTGTCACTTGTGAAAGGAAGCTTTGTAGTTCTACTGTACATGGTGAATAGAAGACAAAGTTACCATAAACCCCTGCTCTTGATTAGTGCAGTCCAACACGATGGAATATGAGATCCAGGCGAGTATGAATAAGCCTGTTGTGTTGTGGTTTTTTTTTCTCCAGCACATGTGTTGATATTCCTTCCCTCCTCTTGCATTTCCTGGGATTAATTCTGTGGAGATGGATTTTAAAACAGAAGTCTGCGCAGTTAACGTTACCGCACATCCAGCAGGCATCCCAGGGAGTGTATGCCGCAGAACCAGAGCTCGGTGTGGTCTCTGACAGCAATTACGTAGTGCTTAGAACGGAACCCTTGTTTAACGCACTGGGCCGTCTTGTGCGCTTGAAGTGAACGTCAGGGGCTTTCTCTGAGCGTGCTCTGAAAGCGTATGGTGGATATTTTTGCATGGAAGAGTTGGATAGATAACTGTCAGTGGAGAATTAAGGGCTGTGCTAGGGGCTGTGAAAGCAGGCTGGAACAGCAAGTAATAAATCTTGGCTGGACCCAGATTTTTTCCAGAGGAACAGCATGTCTCTCAGTGAGAAATGGTGATCAGTAAATGGGCGTTTTGTCAGCGCTTGCTCCCCAGCTTTCTGGTGTTTTAACTCCTGAAGTAGCACGGGCTGTCCAAAGGACCGAGTTTAACTGTTTATCCCCTTGGCTGATGGGAAGTAGGAAGTGGTGGCAGGGAACCTATGGAAGCGTTGCTCCATTCTGCTCTAGCGGGTCTTAAACAAGAGCGCTCTGTAAGCAGTTTGTCCTGCAGAATGAGGAAAGGAAGGGCCTGTAGGCGGCCCCAGCTGTAGTCTGTGTTTTTAGCAGTGAGGACCGATAGCAGAATGTTCCTATCCATTGTTTTGGAAAACTGAGAAATGGCACTGTTTGGGAATAACAGGAAGCATGTCTACACTTGGGTGAAGTACTTGAAACAGTCTGTGTTTAGCTAAATCATAACGACTTGTATCTTCCTGTACTTGGGGGCAGATGGCTGATTGATGTTTGCAAACTGCGTGTTTCATTCCTCGGTCAAGCGTGCGGGGCTGCGGAAGGAGCAGAGCGCTGAGACCACCCCGCTACACCCCTCAGCGCTGTTCGGCCTTAAAGCTCCTGCTCCTAACTGCATTCTCCAAATACCTCCAGTAACAATTTTGGGTAATCCCTATGTTCTGCCTTTCCTAGCTCTTCCCTTTTGGAAGAGATACGCCTGAGCGGAACCTGGAGAACTGCCTCAAAGATGCTCATTTGTTCATATCCAATTATGACTGACAGAGCCACACGCCACCCCCCACCCCCTTGTCTTTTTCTGTAAGTCTGACCCTAACGAAGTAAGGTCAGGACACGCTTAGTGTGTTGGAGAAAACACCAGTTGATACCATTTATTGTGCCTCTGACTTGTCTCCAGCATGTGAAGAGCATCACCTGAACATTAGGGACAGCTGCTGGTTAACCTGATGGACACTCTGGATTTGACCTTCGGTTTGTTCCGGTGCTTTGGAATACAACAGCTCCTACCGATATTAGATTGCCAGAGGTTCACAGAACCTTGGAATAAGGGAACAGTTTGCCATTTGTTTCAGTGCCGATTTCTCAAGGAGTTCAGTAGGAAGGTCCGTGTTCTGTTCTCTCCCATGCTCTCCCTGCCCAGTTCCCTAAGGCAGGTTTTGGATCACACCGTTCTCATGGTACCTAGGGCTGTTTGTATTCATGGTTGAGATGGTGGAGTAACTCCAGAGCAGGGTGCTTGTCACGTTACTTTGCATTCAAATGTGCTGCAAATGCTCAATCCTAAATTCACAGGATTTGCTGGCAAAATAAACACCAGTTGCAGTTAAATATTTGAGGTGAGGTTTTGAACATCTCAGAGGACAAACTGCAGACAGATGCAGCTTTCAGCCCTGTCTGTGCACGAGACAGCACAGCCATCTGCACACAGGGAGGAGGACAGTTCCTGCTTAGGGTCACTGAGAGCCATCTGACCAAAATGCAGTCTCCCTTGTAGAACAGATGGAAGCTTTGCTGGCAAGGTGGGATGATGCCAAGAGAAACACTAGAATGGCCACTTATCTTGCTTTGGGAATCGCGTAATTCTGCTCTTTAGTATGTTTAGCACTTGCTGTAAAGCAGGTACTGTGTTTTGCACGCAGTATTTACTGTTCAGGTTTGGTATGCTTTAGAGCTTATTGTTACATGAACTAGCTTTGAAGCCCCGCGAGCTGTGAGCTGGTGTTCTAGCTGATGTTTGGGCAAAACTTCTCCAAAATGCTGAAGTGAGTGGGGTAACTGAGAGCCTATGTAAGTGCTGTTCACGAGCCTGAGGTGACAGAACTCCTGAGGTGGACATCAAGGATGGATGCATTCTAGGCAGCACATAGATAAGGGTGAAAAGCCTCATTTTGGTCCAGTGAAATCCCTTAATTGATAATTCCTTATCACTCATTTTTTCTAATCTTACAGTCTCCTTTCTCACAACTACCTTGCCCTTAGTGTCTCTGCATGTGCAGGGTTATGTCCTTCTAGAAATCTTACCTCAAACGTGCAGGACTTGCATTTTCTTAGGGAAGTTCCCCAAGCAGTAAGCTTATACATGGTGGCTCCTTTCTCTCTTTGCCCATCTAAACGTTGCTTCGCCCTTACCAAACCCTCAAAGCTACTCAGAGTTGCTGACAAGCGCTGTACTACGGCCCGTGCCGTCGATACAGTTTGCTGTCCTGCTTTCCTCACAAGCTGTCTGTAGACAGTTCTAGCAGGACTGTCTCTCCTTCCTGTCCAGACCACATCATCTCCACAGCATTTGCCTTTCCCTCCTTCCAGGAGATTTTCTTGTATACGGATGTAACTTGTGTTCTGCCTTGGCTTCTATGTCATCAAAACCAACGAACCCAGAATGTTTTAGAGGAAAAGGGGTAAAACATGTACATATATTAAGGTGCAGCACCGTGACTTTGTATGTGTCATACTTTATTATTTGCTTCATAGGCTTTTCTCCGTTAAACCCATAGTACTTTCTCCCTGGGATTTAGAATGGAGCTGCCAGTTGTCCTGCTCTCCATACTGGAGAATCTTACATCTTGCGGAGTTTTACGTAGAAAATGAAATAATCCAAATCTGTATCATATGAACACTTTTTGAGAAGTGCCTTTAAGTGCTGTCGTCTTGTCCTTTCTGCTTCCCAGCCACTGCCTCATAGGGCCTGTGCTGTCACAGTGCCAGCAGCGGAATGCAGTTTGGTTTCTGTGCCCAACCAGCCCTCTGGCCCCGACCCGCTTCCTGCCTTGCTGACAGATAACTCCCGTGTGGGTGGGGGCAGCGGACGAGGTGTGAGACGTTCGTGTCATGTCAGGGGCCCCTCTCTTCCTCTAAGACCTGCGAAGACACTGTTCACAGCACTTGTAGCATGAGGATGACAGGCGATTCTAATCGACAGGACAATCCTTGTAGTTATCCCCTTACCCTTAACGAATCTTCCTTTAAATTACTATTTTGCATCATTAGCCTGATTTTCAAGGAAAGGCAAAAAGGGTGTGCAGTGGGATGTTACAGCAGTTCACTTACATGGAAATATAAGTGAATAGAAGTTGTACAGTTGCCAAACTGTTTCTTTTAACTAAAATCCAATTATTCAGATCCATTAATGTGCCTAAGGGCAGCTCCAAACGATGCTTTCTATCTTGCAGTTGAGGATTTTCGCAGCACGAGAAAACTGCTGGGGTACAGACAGTCCAGTCTGCTCCTGCTCTTGGCCACAAGCTTTGTCTTAAGACCCGAAATGAGTCCGAGTTGCCCAGGACCATCTTGCTCCAGCTTACTGCAGGACTAGACAAATGAGGTGGCTTGTGTTTGTGCAGTAGGTTGTATAATTCCTTCTATGTGGGTTGTATAAAGCAAGCCGTGATGAACACGGTCTGCGCCTGAGGGCCCAAATGCTGTGCTGGTGCCCGACACAGCTGTACAAAGAGCTTTTAACTCCTGCTGGTTCCAGCCATTTGCTCACCTTTTTATGCCCTTCTGCAGTCTGTCCTCTCTCTAGTAAACAACAGTGACCAAGCACCACATGCTAAAAATGAGCTGAAAACAAAACCTCTAAACCTCAAGCGTCTGCAGAATTAGTTTTCAGTTGCGTTTCCTCTCTTCAAGTTTTAACTATTTACTTGTTTATGTAGTTCCCTCTTTTTGTATGACCTGGGACATGAACAGTATCGTTAGTGTCTTCACCTCACTACCCTCAGGTTCCTGACGACTCTTTTGGGGCAACGAAAATTGTAAATTCAAACTTTTCAGTTGCCACTTTACATTGTTTTTTAGTTGCTTCAGAACTGTTCTGCTGGTCAATATACATAAAATTTCCCTTTCCAAATGGCATGTATAGATCCTTCCAGTTCAATGCAATCTAGTCCTGGTAGGCACAGAAAAACACATTCAATCTTCTGTGCCAGAACAAGGAAAGTGTCCAAAGGTGGCTAAACACCACGCTGAAGTGGTATTTTTGTCTACAGCTACAACGAGGCTTGTTTAGTGATTTGTGGGAGGAACCTCAGATGCCCTGCCTTCACAGGCACACGTGTTGTGGCAGGTTGTGATGCACGAACCGCTTCCAGCGGCAGTCAGCAAACCCCACCTCTGCTGTGTTCTGGGCCTGGATCTTGGGCTGGGTGAAGAAAGGGTTCAGGAGCGACATAGGCAAAAAAAACCCTCAAACTGAAAAGTGTTTTGCCAAATGCTTTATCTGTAAAACATTTTCTCACTGTGTGTGCCTAATGCGATGGAGAGCTGCTCCTGGTAACAGTTAGAGGTGCTTTAATTAACCATGACAGAAAAAAAGGGAACAAACCTTCAGTGCTTTTGTAGCCTTCAGCTTCCTCGGTCAGGCGAGGGATGGCTGCAGTTAACCAGGGTGATTATGCCTACCTGGATGCAGTATGGGTGGCTTTTGAAGAGGCAGGCACTATGCTAATGTTTCCTTAAGATCCAGCAGGATTATTCACCGGTGGAGAGTCAAATGTAAATTACTCACATGTTTTGGGGAGTCTGTAACTGTAACCAAAGGAGCGGAGCTCTGAGGCGAGCTGTAGGGATGTGCAGAAGGGTCCTGAAAACTTTCCCCAGGAACGAGATTTGTAGCACTTGAAAATGTTGCCTGTACTTCAGGGCACCAGCTGAACAAAAAATGGGGTTGTAGAGCCACCTTCTGTCTGTTTAACAATATTGCACTATAAGACTGATACGCGTTTTGTGATGTTAAGTATCAGAAGAACACCAATTTTATCACTGTGCAGTGCCCTTTAAAAACAGTTGTATGGTGCTTTCTGGCGGAGTTCTACAGCCCTGTCCTGGGCAGGGAGTTGTCCCTGCCTCAGTAGAGCTCCGTGGAGAATTGTCAGCAGGCTTCCTGGGCTTGGTTGACAGGGAGAAACAAAACTGGCTAACAGAAATGCAAGGGTTTTGATGTAGAAAGACACCCTGACGTGGATCCATGGGAGCCGCGATGTGTTTTGGTGACGTTGCAGCTGTTTTATGTGCGTGGACACTAACCTCTTAGAGGTGTGGAGCTGAGGAGCCACGACACAACATGGTGACACTGTCCCTTCTCTCCACAGACAGTACTACTGGTATGATGAGCGGGGAAAGAAGATCAAGTGCACTGCTCCTCAGTACGTAGACTTCGTCATGAGCTCCGTGCAGAAACTAGTGACGGATGAGGACGTCTTTCCAACAAAATACGGTACGGCTGCCTTTGGCAGGTGCTTCCTGTGCCTCTGCAGATAGCGTGAGGTGCAAGCTGCCACTCAGCACTTGTGTTATCACCAGGCACCTTTCTCACCTGTGTGTTTGGTGTTTGCTTTTGAAGGGAGATTTGAAGTTGGGTTCATTCCTGCAGTAAGAAATCCCTGCACTGTTGGCACATGAACTGGCCTAAAAGTCTCACAGTTCTGTCCCCTTGGCTTGTATGTCACCATCGGTGTATTTCCTTCTTTGAGCATTTTGATTTCTTCGAAGCTGTGCTCAGGGAGGAGACAAATCTGAAAGCTGTCAGCGTGTATTTGCTGCTAGTCACATTTAACCTTCTTGGTTTACGATTTCCTGAGAACCCAGATGCTTTAAGGGTTTGGATTGCCAAGAATGTGCTTTGTCTGCCTTGCCCAGCCAGGCCGTGGCTCACAGATTGTTTGCAGTCTCCCTTCCCTTCCAAAGATTAAATAAGGATGTGATCTTTAAGACGTGAAAAGCAGCAGGAAAGTAACTTTAATTAAAATTTGTAACCTAGTGAGGTGGCTACATGCAGTGCCTTGGGTTAAGGGAAAAAAACCCAGAGACCTGAAGATAGGGTAGGTGTGTTTAATCATGACTAAAAGCTGCTGGGGGTCTTGAGCCCCTTCCACACAGATAATTGGGGAACCAGGACATTACAGTACAACAGACACGAAGCTCGTAGCCTTGCTCACAGGCATCTTGACCTGGAGTCAGTCTCTGGTAAGCCAGCTGCCACCTTTTTTTAATAAATATCCTTGTTGGAGGGCAGGGAGGGCCTTTGATGCAAGTGATTGCGCGTGTGGGCAAGGTGCACTTCCAGCCAGTAACTTCCACGCAGGATTTCTGCGTTGGTCTCCCAAGCGTTATGTACTTCCAGGGGAAAAACCTGCTACTCCTGGACAAACTAGATAAGGACCCAGAAGAATCTCTCATTACTTTTTGCAGCTGGTAACAAAAAAATGTTGTGGTTTTAAAGAATGATTACACTTACTTCCAGATGTTTGAACACGGGGTTTAAAACGTAACTTCGAATGAAAATCCTCACCTTCTTCTCCTGAATTCCTGTAAAAATAACAAGATGAGAGGATGATACAGGGCCCGCAAGGTGCAGTGTGGCTAGTTGCTCTCACCCACAGCGCAGCCCAAACCAAAGCTGCTGTGGGGCTGAAGGTGAGCAGCTGGAGCTTTCATGGTGTTTCTCTGTCTTCCATGCAGGCAAGGAATTCCCAAACTCATTTGAATCCCTAGTGAAGAAGATCTGCAAGTACCTGTTCCATGTGCTGGCCCATATCTACTCCTCACACTTTAAGGAGACTTTGGCACTGGAGCTGCACGGACATTTAAACACGCTCTACACACACTTTATCCTATTCATCAGGGAGTTCAACCTCGTGGACCCTAAAGAGACCACCATCATGGACGACCTCACAGAGGTCCTCTGCAGCAGCAGTGGGAGCAGCAGTAACGGGAGTGGCAACGGGAGCGGTAACGGCGCGGGAGCACAGAACCACGTGAAAGAGAGATGAGCCCTCCCCCCGGGTCAGAACGAACACTCACAACAACCTTCTATATTCCGTGTGTCCATGTACACATACAGACATACACAGCAGCGAGAGCCGAACGAACGCCGCTGCCGCCACGGGCCGGAGCCGTATGGGCTGTACGGAGCTTTGGTTTCCTGCGCCGCCTGGCCAGAAGTTGCACCGATTTTATTTTATTTTCTGTCCACTCCTCCCTTTACCGAGTCAGACGGATGATGAGTGCTGGTTTTAGAGAAGAGCCAAGCTTGAGAGTGGGGCCACTCTGGATTTTTTTTTTGGTTGGTATTTTTTGTTGTGGTGGTTGTTTGTTTGTTTTTTTTTTTAGTTGGTTGGTTGTTTTTCTTTCTTTGGTCTTGAGTGCAAGCCCTTTGTCTTTCTAGGATGGTGGTCCTGCCATTTAAAAAAAAAAAATCTATTATATTCTAAGAAGTGACTTTTACTTTGAAGTGGCTTAAAATGCAGGTTTGGTTTTTTTGGGAGGGGTGGAGGGGGAGGGGTGGTTTTTAGTTTGGTTTTACATAGACTGCCCCTTACCCTGCCAAAAAACTCCCCAGGTGAGTGCATCTTGCCCTTTGTTAGCTTGGAATGGGGAGAAACTCCTGGATTGACTAGAGTAGCAGCTGGGGCCTAGTGCTGTGTTGGAAGTGGGCATGGTTCTCCAGTTCTCACCTACCTGGTCACAAGATGTCAGTGTGCAAGAGGATCCACAAGCCTTTCTGCTTATTGCTCCGACAACATATATACTCTTTTCTCTGCTCCCCTCGCCTCCTCTTTTCCCAGGAACACCTCTATAAATAAAAAGAGTAAGATCACTGGAGTGCAAAACCCAAGTGCAAGAGCCACCACCATTTGTTTCCCCTTGAACAGAGGCCCGGGGAGGGGGGAGAAGGGCACATTGAGTCAGTCACTGCCTGTGCTAGAAAGATGGCTGTTGGCATAAAATTATATTGTTGGCTTATTTTAGTTCATCTGTTCTATAATAATAAAAACAAATCTATCAATCAGTCATAAGCTTTGTTGTCGTGTTTGCAGCGTCAGAAGTCGGTGGAATCCACCCATACGGCTTCCCTTTCGCCACTGAATGCTGTTGGCCCTGCTGTCAGCCAGCTTCATAAAGAGTCTGTCTTCCACCCTGTAATCTCACATAATCAATTCCTTGCTCTTTCCGGTAGTGCTGGGGACCTCCTCCTCAGGTAATCTGAAGATAGGCACTCTGAAGATCAGCAGCACTTGGAAAGGAGCAGGTTTCCTGCATGTACATAGTTAAATTCTGCAAATGCAGTGGCCGCCTGGATATTCTGTGGTGAATATTGTATCACAGTATCTGTGGATGCAGTATTCTGTCAGTATTGTATCTGGACAGTGATACTACTCTTCACCTTTCCACGGAATTCTTCCAGTTAGCATTTCCAGCTGGGAAAATGCCAAATTATTCTTGCAGTTGTGTTTCTGTTAAATCTGCAGCAGCCTCTGAGAATTGTTTGTTACTGGTTTTGGTCATTATCCGGAGGTACATAAATCATTAATAACTGACCTGGCATGAATCCTAGAAGGTGTTAGTGAATGATGTCTGTAACTGTAGTAGAAGTCAGTAGAGAGAAGAAAAGGAGAGCAAATGCAAATAAGAGAAGGAAAAACACAAGCAAGGGGGGGAGGGGGGGAGAAGGCAAGAGCAAGAAAGGAAAAAAAAAGAAAAAGCACAATCAAGAAAAAAACCCTTGTGAAGAAGGGTGCAAGCACAACAGATAAGGAAGAAACATGTGCAAGTGAGAAAAATAAGGAAGAAGTCATAAAAAATGAGCACAGGAGAAGTGGAGGAATGAGCGAGAGAAAATGACCTCAAACTGCGCGAGCCCAAACCTCTCCCGTGTTTGTTGCCAGACTGTGGGTACCTTGTGAACCTGCAGGCAGCTGTGCTGGGGTCTCGCTGACCTCATCTGGGCTCTGTTGACACAGGCTGTTCAAGAGGCCTCCTTCCCCACCCTGTCCTCCTGCTACGGCCTCCATACCCAGGTGAATATTCCCATTCAGATGTCAGCCTTCCCACTACAATTCCCTGCACTCATGTCGGGAAAACCAGAGGTCAGCAGCAGCTGCCAGAGCAGTGCCATTTGTAAGGCCCCTGTGCTACCTGCAGTGCTACTCTACATACAGTAGAGTTCAAGGTAAGAAAGGGATTGCAAGGACAACCACCCAAACCCAGGTATTTCTGGGGATGGATTGTCTACCTGTAGAAAAGCATTTGCAGTCTCAATTCAGAAAGACTGTTTAGAAATGATTGATATACCTTTGGGAAAGGTTGGACTTGAACCACGGCCAGTTCAGCGCTCTCTGGAAAGACTGACTTAGCTAGATACGGTGACAGCTGTATCAAATGCAAGAGTGACTGTACCTTTAGCTTCCCGGAAGAGATCTGACAGAACCTCGTAGGAAGTCTGGGAACCCACGTGTTGACGCAAAGCAGCAAACCAGGAATTCAGCTACCTGGAGGACAGTGAAGCACCACATTCTGCTGTTGTTGATGGCAGCTATCCCGAGTTTACTCTGCAGTCATTTGATATTCCTAAGAGCACAGACACTTCATCTAGCAGGGTAATCTCTTTATATTTTACAAGCAGTTAACAAGAAAACACATAACGAATCCTATTTTAGTGGAGCCTATTTTAGCGGAGCTTATCTTGTTGGTTTTAGCAATTGGAATAAGGTAAAACACTGAAATAGTGCCAACACGGATGTTGTTCTTCTGAGGAGTAAATGCTACTGTAAAGTTCAGCCTGGAGGCACCCAAGCTTATTCCAGAGGTTACTGCACATCAGAAAGTAACATGAGATACAGAAGGGGCACCAAGTCCTCACTCTGCTTGGCTGGTGCCACTGAAGTCTGTCTATCAGAGCACTGACCCTCAATTCCACTGCATCACAAAGAGAGGCTTAGGTCTTCTGACACTGAGGAAAAGGTCGTATTGCTGCTTTAAATGTTTTATAAATTGTTCAAAGCCCTGTAAGAACAGAGACATCGTAATGACGCTGCATTCCAAGCTTCCCCTTCCTCCCCACTCCTCTTGCCCTAAGGATCATCTTACCATACCATTGTTTAAGGGCTGCTAAATCAGTAAAACACAAAACAACCCCCTCCTCTGCCACTGCTGAATCCCCAACCAACGAGCACAAGCAGTCACAGGGCTGAAGTCTTTCCCTGTAAAACCAACAGTAGTCACACGTACGCTTTGTAGGATTGTGTTCCTGACATTCTGTGCTCTGGACACAAAAGAGCTGAGGTTGCAGAAATTTATAGCAATGGAGTGAAATTTTAGAGCAAGCTGAAACATTTTTCCCCCCCTTTTTGTCATTAAGTCTTTGAGGCTGCAGGGGCTTTAGGAAATCCACACCTAAGTGCTTGTAAATAAATACAGGAGGAAAATGTCCTCTTCATCCCTGGAATAAATACCAGCAGCAGGTAAGCAAGCACCAAAGTCAGCAGCTCATGTCCATTCCACGGGCTATCTCTGGCCATTCATGGCCACGGGACGCAGGAACAGTGCCACCAAGTCTTTCACACAGAGAAAGAGCCACCTTTAGCTTTGACCTCAAGGCAGCGGAGCTGTGTAGACATCACAGCTTCACCCCAACCCTAACAAAGGCCCTGACGTGGCAAGCTGTACATTGAGTTGGGCATCTTCAGCTCGGCAAAATCAGAGTTATGCCCCTCTTTCTTGCCTGAGAACTGCACAAAGTTATCAAGTCTTGAGATGCCACAGAGCACACTCATGTTACATACGAACAACAACCTTTTAACCAAGAATTTCAAGAAAATCAACCTTGCTTCTTATGGAACACTTCTGACACTGAGACCTGGGGAGGGAGAAAGATGTGTTCTGGCTCTGAGGTACCACCCGGTCTGGCCGTACACACGCATACCAAGGTAATCCTGGAAGCGATCGGGCATAAAGGCGGGTGCTGTCTGGTAACGATTAGCTCCTGGTCATTAGCAGAAGACTGAAAGACTCTCACAGAAACAAGCAATCTCACACAAGAACAAGCCAACTTTATGAGCGCTTACTAAGTATGCTGATCTCATCCAAAGCCACAAGTCCTTACACACATCTGTCATGGAACTTCTGAAGCCAGCCCTTAGCTCACCCTTCCAGCTGTTCACAGACTCGGCCATTATCTAAACTGAGGACAGACGAATAGGTGGTGGTTTTATTCTGTTCAAACCTACTAAAATGAAACCACTGTTTGTGTCTGTAGCACAAACGGCAACGCCAGCCAGTTTAAATCAGTTCTAACGCCGGGGTGCTGTCAGTCGTTACAGCACAGAGCCCACTGTGGCTCCATCATCCTTGCTGCTGTGGCACTACTAGTGCCCGACTGCAAGCTCGGTACCTGAAGGATTTAAAGACAAATCTGGTATCTTCAGATGACATAGCTGTATGCAGTACAGACAAATCCAAAAATTCCCAATGGACCTGATGATACAAAGTGAGAAAACCCACCAAACGCCCCTCAGCTCAGCGTGCTAATGGGGTCTGCATTCTTTTCAAGAACAGAACTGTTCTGGCTGGGACAGCTGACATGAACAATAAGACTCTTCAAAGCTAGGTTAGCATGTGACTCAGAGAAAACAGGAATTGTTGTGGTCAAGCATTCAGATGAAAGAACACTCAGAGAGCTTTGTCTAGCCAAAAAAAAAAAATAAAAATAGCCTCACTTCTCTGTCATCTGCGAGTTGTTTTCATTGTATCTAAAAAGGAGGCATTCAAATGCTTTGCTGTACACCAGCGCGGAGAGTTAACGATCTCTCCCAACGTGGTGCGAGGTCCCGTACGTAAAACTCCTCCTTTTCATAGTCTCTGGGCTGATTCAAAAGAAAGGGTACAGGGAGCCTGGGCTAGACAGCCTTTCCGCTCAGTGAGAGCAACCCTCTGCAACACCAGCTCATCTACAGAAAGGTCAAATGCCACCTCACAAAGGACTTTTTGCCTTCTGCGAAGGCACTGCTTCACCTGACATCAGTAAGGCGCCGAAGCCACTCGCCCCGAAGCAA